TGTCTCTCTCTCTCTCTCTCTCTCTCTCTCTCTCTCTCTCTCTCTCTCTCTCTCTCTCTCTCTGTCTGTTTCTGTGTGTCTCCCCCCCACCCCCCTCAGGCTGTCTCGTTGTGGAAAGGCTTCTATATTGTTTGTCAAGTTTAATGAAAATGTGAACAAGCAGCATGGTTCGTATGCAACACCTGTTCTCAACTTTGGCAGGATGGCTGCCAACTTAGTTGGCTCAAGCAAATGGGAGAAATAGCCGTGACAGACATAAGGGTACAATGTTGGGAGTAATACGCAAAAAAAGAAAGAAAAAGAAAAACCCAAGAAAAAAAAGAGTTTGTTTTTTTTATGTAATGTAATGTAACATAGGCCAACTATTATTATTATTATTATTATTATTATTATTATTATTTTTATTATTGTTACTGTTATTATTAGCATTTATTGTTGTTGCACCTATGTTGTCATTGTATTAAGTAGGTATTGGGCATACTATAAATTATCACAGGTGTTTTGGTTAAAGTAGCTCTAAACTTGAAGTAGTGTAATGCATTACAGACAGCAATGCGGTAATAATAATTAATTATGTTCAAATGACAGTAACAACTTAATATGTATGATATTCAGTTTGTTAGTAACTTGCCCAACACTGTAGCTAATACAAAATCTATTTTTTAAAAATCAATTTCCTGCTATTTATTTATTATTATTATTTTTATTTTTATCTGAGGGATTGAGTGCTAGTGTGCGCAAGATACTTGGTGATGCCCTTCAGCCAATGAGAAACATAACTCCGTTAATGAGCTACATGTGAGTTAAGAGAACAGTGCAAGGGCTTATATGTCCAGACGATGTTTACAGAAGATCATTTGTAGCTTGGCAGATCCTGTGCAATGAGGCAAAAAGAAATCAAATCAACATTTGGGGGGGTGTACGCTGATTGGAAAGTCACAAGCAGTGTGAATCCTGGTGAAGAATGCATTCCTGGTGCACCCTAACAGGCTGTGAGTGTGAAGTAGACTTGACTCACAGCAGTTGAGGGGCTTTAAGCGTCGTGACGCGCGCTGCTGTCCATACGTGGGAGGACAGGCTTACCTCGCATGTCCGCCGTGTTGTTAAAATGACAAGTGCTTGTGGAAATAGTGGTACATAAGCAGATGTTTCCAGGTAATAATCAACACTCTTGGGGCCAAAGAGATGTTTGGAAGATGCTTTGACTACATTGCATTGACTTATGGGAAGTAGTTTGGAGCAAGTCTGCAGAGCTAAGCATTAAAATATTTGGAAGCCAGAATGTTCAATTGATCTTCAATTGTGCCTGTGGACCTAAAGTTATTCCTTGTGGGGTCGTATAATTTGTAAATCGAACACAATCCTGAGGACCAAATACAAAATGAAGCATGCAATGTGAGCGATGCATCAAATGTCTTCAATACGCCAAAATCATTCAAAAAAACCCCAAAAAACAAAACCTAAAAAGTTAACAGTTGTACAACAGTGAATAATGTCAAATGTTATTTAAAATCTTGAAGTTATTAAGGGTTTTAATGGCAGCCATGGAATGGACAACTGTATTTCTATTTACAGCCTTTGCTTTGGGATTAAAAAAAAAAATGGAAGTCAAGCAGCAGCCTAGAACCGATTGTGATTTGTAACGTGTGCATTCTTTTAAATGAATAAAATAAAACCAGCATTGAGTCATGGACTGTCAATGGACTCATTGAATTCTGCCCCAGTCACTTACTTGATCATAATAAAATCCTGCAGTTGAGCAGAGATCCCAAGAAATTTGCAGTGATTCGTGATGTAGCTGATGTTTGTCAGGATTACTTTCTTTTTATAGGTTTCTCCCACTTCAAAGTCCTGCATCAGATATTAAATGATAAAAACATAAATATCAGACTTGCAAAGATTTCAAAAATACCCATCGTGATTTGTGTCACACCTTAAATAGAATGACTTCTGGTTTACTCGTGAATGAGGGCCCTTTTATCTGTTTTCCACCAACTTTCTTGGGGGTTGTGCTGAGCTTTGGGCAGACCACCGCATGCTCTCGTTTCACATCTGTTGGAAAAATAACTGATTGCATTCATTTTTCAGCTGATTTTCATTTTTTTGCAGACTATGAGAAACGAACAAAGAGGCTTGATTTAAGCCTTTTTGATGTTGCTGGCCCAATTGTAGGGTGAGGAACTTGGAGCTGCCATCCAGTTTACCACTGTGACCTGAAAGTGTATGAAAGTATTCCACCTGGCGGAAGCACTATGATGCTAACTTGAAATGACACAGTTTCATCAGAATTTTTCTCTCTCATTGTCTATTTGGACAATTCTCATCTTTCGAGTGTCATTCTTCTGTTCTAGTTCCAAGACATGGAGGCATACAAAGTAAAATAGAACAGTTCACTAGGGATTAAACGCTGAATGATACAAAGTTGGAAAAAGCCTATGACAGCGCTATATAAAGCGCTGCAAATGAGGCCATACAGCAGAGCATCCACATTGCAAAAGTAAGATGCTAGCGGTTTCACGTGTCTCTCAGCAGTGCAGGAGCAGGTAGGAGATAACAGGTGACAGTCAGCGGTTTTTAAATATATTATTGTCGCCGTATTTATGTTGCATTCAATAAAGATTTTCATTTTAGCGCTTTAATCATGATCTGGGACATCTGACTCAATTTTCCTTTTCATTTTTGAGCAGTGTATAAACTACACATCAAACAGTATTTTAAAATTAAAATTCAATTATTTAAATTATTTTAAATGGACTGAGCTTGTTTTCACACTAACTTTTTTTATGATTCTTTGAAACTAAAATGACCGAACTAGAGGGCCTTTTAAATGTCTCTTGGCTGGAAAAGAGGAATGACTGTTTGACAACCTAAAATTCGATAAGATATGAACTGATTGAGTATTTAAAATAGTCAAGTACAATACTGTGTTTGTGGCATATGAATGAAAACAAACAAACATACAAAAAGAACCCATTTTTATCCATCTCAGGGGGCGGCCATTTTAACACTTGCTGTCGATTGAAAATGACATCAGGGTAGCTCAACTTCTGACAAGTTAATCCGGATCTATATAAAATGAAAACAAAACAGACTCATTGCATCCTACACCCTCTTGAACTGAGCTGCACCATATCGAATCAAATTGTCATCGAATCCTGCCATTTTTAAATCAAGCCATCCTTGACTCATATCGTACCTAATGCATCAAGACACGTATCGAATCATCGAATTGTCTTTTATTAGTCTAGGTTTGTAACATTTCCAGTAGTAAAAACTCAAAGACGAGCCAATCCTGGCATGGTGGCACAAACGCACCCACGCTGGCCAATGAGTGGGGTGCAGTTGGTTAATTTTTAGAAACTCTGGGGGTGTACAGGGAGCATGGGCGGGTT